TGATGCCTCTTCTATCTAGCTATATACCGAGTTCCTCAGAGCTTCACACCTTTATCACTTTCAAGATAGCATGATGTTTAGCTGTCAAAATAGAAAGGGTACCAGAAAATGTGACAGAGTATGAGCCTAAAGAGAGACTTTGAAAGATGCAGGCAAAAAGCGGACTTTGAATTCTAGGGAACAAGCCCAGATCTGCATTCTTCTTTGCTCTACTACAAACCTCACCAGGAAATTCAGTTGCATTTTGACATCTAAGGCAAACCTGTGAAACTGCCATGAAGGAGTAGGTACCACTAAGGCTAGGCTAAAAGCCAGTAAACAAAGATAGAGACAGGCACAAAGTCAGAAAATAAGCAAAAGAAGGTGGCTCACTAAAATAATGAAACCACAGAAAGCAGAGAATATGTGCAGAGAAAGCTGGGCAAAAGAAAACAGCAAAGCAAGAACAGAATAAAACCAAATGTAGATCATCGCACATAGAGGTGTCTCAACAAGAAAAGTCCTTCTCCAACTTTCCCATAAGTTTCCCTTGGTCCTTTTTTCAGTTTGTGTATCAGCCTACTGCTCTACACAAAAACTAGTTTTAAAAATAAAGCAGGTTCTACTAGGTGACAGCATCATGCAGTCAAGCTAGAAAATGCTATTACTGAATACATCTGTGCAATTTGAATGCCAAAAGCAGCAGACAAGATCAGCTGTGATCATTTGATCATGAAATTTAAGGAAGCTTTGTAACTCAGGTAATGAGAGATTCCTGCTGTAGCATGCTAAAGCAAGATATTGTTCAAAGGAACAATTATATTATTTTTGAACTTTACATGATCATATCAATATTTGTTATGGGACAGATGAGATGCAACTGTGTTTCAGCAGTTTTTTAAAGCTGGAGTAGCCCCTTTCCCAGCTTCATGATGTAATTCAAAATGGTGAGAAATTAGAAGTCAAAACTTGTAAATCACTGCCATTTGTTGTGAAACTGCTGCTTTAAGCAATGTGAATCTGCAGTAATCAGGGTTCTGTTCCATTTTTGTATGTATCGCAGTACTTAGATCTTGAATTTTTATCTATTATGCAGGTAACAACTAATAGATTAATTAATTTAAAAAAATCTAGAACAATTGTATGTATATTAACAAACCTAGAAATGTCTTACTCAAAGTGTTAAGGTGTATAACTTAATTTATAATCTGACTTTGAGGCTAAGAAACTTACTCCTGCCTTAGGTGGTAGGCACTAGCTAATGAGACACTGGTGCTTTAAAGACTACTCAGATAGCAGCAGTTCTGGCAATAACTGTTGTCTGTGTCTTCATCTAGTTTTGGCAACATAATCATAGTCTCCTGCCTTTCTTTTTCTTTTCTTTAACTCATATCCCATGATCCAAATGGCAAATTGAACTACAGAAGAAAGTGCATATGGGTCAAATTCATGAATTCCATCATCACTGAGTAAGATCAAAGCTTACAGTGGGCATCCAAACTGTCTTAAATTTCTTCAGGAAGAAAGAAAAAAGAAAAAAGAAGAGTTTAGTCTGATTTTTATACAGTACATTAATTGTGGCTGAATAATTATTGGACAACTTACTAAAGGGAAACACTAAAACACTTGGATTCCTCTCCATGCTCCAAGATGTTTTCTTTGTTTTTAGTTCTGCTTAACTCAGTTCATTCTTTGGTTAGGGATAACTAAAGTTTCTCCATATTGCATTGATGAATGCAAATTATCTGCATTCATTTAAATGTAAATTTGTCTAGGAACATTTGCTTGTTTTGCCGTACTTAGTCTATTGGCAGTCGGTCTCCTATCAAGACTGGTAGCACACAGATAGGAAACTTCAGTATTTGCAAAAATGAGAATAAATTTATCACCCTCATTTTGCTTCCTAAAATTTCTAGTGCAAAGAATTGCTCTTAATCCCATCTTTTCTTCTACCTCAAAAACTGACAGAATTTCTAGAGAATAGAATTTCAAGAACTTTAATTTCACTTTGTCCTACAAAAGTGCAGGCTCAACTTCGCTATCTCCTGTGCCTCACGCAGACGTGTAATCTTTTATTACCTTCTTCCCCTTCACATATTATCATAGACACATTGTAAATGTTGCAAACGATGACATCACCACAACTTCTTACAGCTGTCAGCAAATGCACTCAAGACTACACGTCTACAGCCTCTTGGTTGGGCGAGTTGATTTCACATAGACTGAAAAATGTCACAGTGTTCATCCACTTTAACTGTGCTTCTTGGCGTAAGTCAGAAGTCCATACATAAACCTACATGTTTGCTTGTGTACCTTTACACAGCATATTGAAAAAATAAAATCTCTGCATGGAAGAACAAAGAGTAGATATGACACGGCAAAAAATTACCACTCCTGGACCTTGTACTATCAACTTGGCTTAATGATCCAGCAAGGTTTTCTGGCAAAAATTGCAGGAGTGAAAATGTTGCACGAGTGAGCAGAAGGGAGAAGGAGAGAGAACCTCAGCCAACGTAATAAAAAGTTTAGAGGGGATCACTGGGATCAATTCCACTGTGCTTTATGTAAGGCACACAGATAGCAGAGGTAACTTGATTTGCAGAATGATTACACTAGGATTTTTTATGGCCTTTGGCTGGATAGGCATATCAATAGTACAAACAGCACTGCATCATTTCTGTGATATGAAGCTTCAGGATGTTTGCACAGAGACCTCTGGAAGACAGAGAGCAAGAGAACCACAGTTACTCACAAGGCCAAAAGGAAGGTGAATGCTTTTACTTGATGATAGCCAATTTTCATTTACACTTATTTTCTGCTTCTGTTGGTATTTCATGCAACAAGTAGACATGAGCGACACACCTTCCACAGGGAACCAACTCATGCACCTGCTTGGTCTACATGTGGTGTCACAGAGGCAAAAGGAGCAAATAAAGTTCACGTATTTGTGAGGGAGCGTGTGGCCAGGTTAGATCCATGTGGCAAATTAGAACCCGCTCCCCCATTAGTACCTGGTATAGTTATCCAGTGACAGATATCAGGCCAAAGGGTACGGTACCAAAGGCCAGGATACGCCCCAGTGCAAGTGGAGGTGTTGACTCAAGACAAAAACACAGCTTGTATCCTACCACAGAGGGCAGACCTACCCTTCCTCATACCTGTTCAACATCTGTACTAATCCCCTTGAGTTTGTTAAGTTCACAGGACCACTGGTGGGAGCAACAGCACTCCAGCATGCCTCAGTGTCCATGAGGAAACATCACGACACCCAGTGGTGGCCTGTTGACCTTTCAGGAACAGGTGAGCACAGACCTGATGCACTACTGGTCCTTGAAGATATGCCTCCTGAAGGAACATCAAGTGTTGGCCCTACAGAACCACGAAAAGACTGTCAACAATCACCTTCAATGTCTTGATACCCAGCACTGCAACAGGTAATTTATGTGTATCGTGATGTACGTCGTACTTTGGATTGCCAAAACAGCAGGAGCTTACCCCCAACTTGCTCAGTCATTGGTTCAAGCTGCGAAGGGGTGGAGTGCAGTGGAATTGCCAGGTCACTGCCTGAACAAATGGTTGAGCACCAGGTGAGAAGGTGTGCTTACCCCTGGAACTCAGGTACAAGCAATGCATCTGAATGACTGGAAGGAGTGGAGACTGGATCCACCCCTCCTCACCCTCATTTAAGGATTAGCAGCTGAGGGAGCAGTATCTCTCTGGATATCTCTTGTGCTCCTCTCCAGCCATCACAGGTCATTGGAAGGGGTGAGCTAATTTTGTTTTGCTATTGTTCCACCGTGCCTGAATCCTATTAGAAGGCACTGTCATTGCCTTTTTTTTGCCATACAAAAGGGAAGGGACTACTTATCTGCTATCAGCCTGTCATATTTGATCTTACATGAATTTCCAGTCAGTACACAGGAACACTGAAAGCACTTTTTCATGTCACTGAATTTACAAAATGTTACTGCTATGTTTCTGGATAGTTTTAACACTAGGAATCAGGAAAGCATGTGCACAGAATCACAGAAACACCAAAACTGGAAGAGACCTACAAGATCATCCAGTCCAACCATCCACCTATCACCAATAGTTCTCACTAAACCATGTCCCTCAACACAAAATCCAAACGTTCCTTGAACACCTCCAGGGTCGATGACTCCACCACATCCCTGGGCAGCCCATTCCAGTGCCTGACCACTCTTTCAGAGAAGGAGTATTTTCTAACAAACATCCAGCTTAAATCTCCCCTGGCACAGCTTGAAGCCATTTGCTCTAGTCCTATCACCAGTTACACGAGAGTAGAGGCCGACCCCCAGCTCCCTACAACCTCCCTTCAAGTAGTTATAGAGAGCAAAATTAACTAGTTATAGAGAGCACATTTTAAGTAGTGTTATTAAATGGTTAATTAAGAAAGTTTAAGGAAGGAGAGAGGAGGTAGAAACTACTTGCCAAAATGTTCATTATTTTTTTCATGTCTCATTAAGTAGATGTTAGGATTAAGCATCAAGCTCTTGCACGGACAAGTCCTGCTTGGAGACAGGAACGTATTCAAGTCAAGATGCCCATCTTCTATACTCTGTATGTGTACAGTGGCCTGTAGACAAGAGGGCTTCAGTGGCTCCTGTAGATCCATTCCACTAGATTTTTAGCTTCTGTATGGCTGTTATGAAGGGAACATTCAAAGCATTATATATGACAAATTGGATCTATTGATCACAGCTCACTCAAATATTTTGCATTTTAAGGTAGCTTGGAGCATGTTTCATATCTGCCAGAGCAAGACCTTTAATGTCAGCTTCTCCTAGCTTAGAGTTTGGGAACCACTACTTGTCACTTCCTAGTAGAGAGTAGCTCATGAATCTCACGTGCTTATATGCTGTGAAATGTACCATGTGTGTAACACTTACGGTGAAATACTCACCATAGAGAGAAAGTGCTGAAATATGTTGAGTAACTCAAAAAGCTGAAAGAGGCAATAAAGATAAGACAACTTCAATATATTAAATATATTTATTCATTCAGAAATACTGCAAAACACGGCCGGTCTCGACCTACAAGCAGTATTGAAACCTAAAGCCCCAGGCATATTACATGCCAGCATGCAATAGGGAGAACAGTAAAGGCAAGGCCAATACAGGCCAAAGATATTTCCTCATGAGGCTACAAAATATATTTTGGAGGAAATGAAGGCTAACATACTTCTCCCTTGGCAGAGCCAATCAATAAAATGAGCTGGGACCTAAATTTCCACTAAGTATCACCTTCTTAGCACCCTTCCTCAGCAGATTTCTTCATTCTCTTTCTTTGGATTGCATTTCCCAAACTAGGTCATCCATCTCTAGTGCTTACTAGAGACAGAGGTGGAAATGTGTTCTGCTTTTGACTTAATTCTCTTTCTGAATAAGTCTAAGGGAAGAGGAGGTGCTCAAGGTAGCCTCCTTTCCCCCAGCATTTGTAGAGTCTGATTCAGTGACTGCTGATTGGACAGTGGGAAGAGCCTAGAGTCAAAATGCTCCAAAATAATTTCTTCCTTCCTAATTTCGTCCTTCTTCCTCTCCATGATTGCTGCTCCAGGGACTGCCAGTGGAGCATTATGTGGTGTCACTTGGTCTTTCCACAGTCCTTGAGGTCCTCTAAGTTCATGCTCCTCTTAGCCAGTACTCTCATTTCACCCAAAAAGTCTTGCCAGTATCTTCAGTGAGGTAAACAATTAGTAGCATCCGGTCCACTCCTGATTGGCTTGATGTCCCCACTCAGATGTGTCTGAGAAGGGAAAACACATGCACACAAAACCTGTGTACTTTTCCTAGGATTTGGACATACACAGTACAGTGCTTGATTTTCAGATGAAACTTGGAAAGAGTCCCGATCCTGGGGAGTTTGCTACCTTGTTACTTAGGCTGGGTTCATTCTTTCACCATGTCCTTGGGAGAAAGTATTATTCAGAAGGCTACCTGGACAACAAAGCAGAAAAAACTAAGGATAACTGTCCCTGTATGTTGGAGAATAGACAGGAGTAGTCCAAGTGAACAACGCAGCTTCAAATATTACAGTTTGACTACTGCAGAAGAGTGTTTTAGAAATCAGTAACTGAAAGTAACTATTGGTTTGTCTCTACTGTACAAGAATTTATCTGTTATCTGTATGTTTCCATTATATTTAAGTTGATTTTGTAGGACATAGATGAAGAGTCCTGATCACTGCAGTCTAGACTCTGCAATGCTTGGCAACAGCAACAACATGCTGTACTTTTTGCCATAGATAATGCTATTCCCTAAAAAGAATCAGAAATGTGTTTATGACATAATACCAGGGACGACATTATTAATGTGGTCTGCCTAAAATATTTTAGACCCAGATGGAATTCATTTTGTATTAGAAATATGCCTATAAAGTGATGATGATTTATGGTTCCATAACGAGTAAACAGTAAGCAGATAATTTTCTAGAACCGTAGGGATCTCCAAGACAGATTGCTAGAATCACAGCCCTAACCCATTCCTACAATGTTGTGCTAACACTGTCTTGGTGAAAACTGTTTGCTTTACGTGGTGAAATTACATATCCTTAATTTCCTACTACAGGCATGTTGCTGAAGGTATAACTGCATGTGGGCTGGTCCCTAGCTCTGAAAAACTGGCTTATCACAAACAGTGCAAAACTCCATGCTGCATCATACCTCATATACAAACTGTGCATGCGATTTCTCATGTCGACAAACAATATTCATGCAAATGTTCTTAATGAAGACCTGTGCAATGTTTGCTCTCTGAAAACAGGTGATATTGATTTGAAACAACTAGCTCACCTCCTCAACTCATGAACAGAGAATGGGAGTTGGGAAGTGGGGGGAGCCCAGGAGCCCACAATCAAATGCAGAAGTGAGGAACCAGTGGGTTTTTCTTATTTGTTTGTTTTCCCAGGATATATACATACCTACAGAACAGACCAGCTATAAGGTATTTTCATACCAGGAAAAATTCTTGCTGGTTATACAAGTTTACTTCAGCTGCCCAATCAGTCCCTCACACGTGTTTAGCCAGGAACTTGAAGTTTGCTAACAAGCTCCCAGAAAGGATGAAGAGGAGGAGGTGGAATCATATGGTAATGTTGGAAGAAGGATGCTGCTGACCAATAAGCAGTTGCATGTCCTGTATTCTCTCTAGCAGTGTCTCTGCTAGCAGTGTCTCTGCTAGCATCTTAAATGTTCTGTATCTTCTAGTTATGCTTTCATTCTCCTCCCTTGAAAAATTTATGACACCTACCTAGCCCAAAAATGACTATGATAGAAACATACTCACCAGAACTCTGCACCTTCACCGTGACAAAATTCTAGACAGCCCTACACCACATAATTGGGTAGATAACTTCTGCAGATAGTCATCAGCCTGTAATTCTTGGGTGAATTGGGGCTAGTTAGAATGAAGGCCCCCCCTTGTCTGACTTGGCACCTAGAGCAACAACCACAGGGGCCTGGTTCTAGGGTATACTTCCTGACTTTTTTTAAAGGAGCTCCAATACTGAAAAAGGGATACATCCTACTACAATGTACTCACTGTCCCTTTCTGCCACAGATTTTGTACAAGTTCTCAGGAGTGTGCTAAGCTGTTCCAGAAAGTTAGCTACAGCCTTTGATTTAGAATCACAGAATCATAGAATGACCTGGATTGTAAAGGACCACAATGATCATCTAGTTTCAACCCCCCCTGCTATTTGCAGGGTCACCAAAAACCAGACCAGACTGCCCAGAGCCACATCCAGCCTGGATTTCACAGAACCCAGAGCATCCTCTGGTGTCTTAGAAATGCAAATGTGTGGTTTCATAGAATCATAGAACAGTTTGGCTTGGAAGGGATCTTAAAGACCATCTAGTTCTGACTGCCTTGCTCTAGATGGGTTTGTCACCCACTAAATCTGGTTGCCCAAATCCCCCTTCCAATCTGGCTTTGGACAGTTCCAGAGATGGAGCAGCCACAGTTCCTCTGGGCAACATGTTCCAGTGCCGCCTCACTCTCTAGAATTTCTTCTAATCTAAATCTATCTTCTTTTAGTTTAAAACCGTTACCTCTTGCTGTAACGCTGCACTCCCTGATAAAGACTCCATCCTCATCTTTCCTGTAGGTTCCCCTTAAGTAATGGAGGGAAATCTGCAAAGTACTGAGGTATCCTAGATAGGATTCCATCTTAGCATAATACAGCTTATCCACAGCATTTCTGCATTGCTAGGGAAGTGTAATTTTCATAGAATCTTAGAATTGTAGAATCACAAGGTTGGAAAGGACCTACAAAATCATCTAGTCCAACCATCCTCCCATTACCATTGCTACCACAAGCACTAACCCGTATCTTGCAGCTCCTCATCCAGATGCCTCTTGAACACTGCCAGGGACAGCGACTCCACCACCTCCCTGGGCAGCCATTGCAGTGCCTGACCACTCTCTGAGAGAAAAAGTTCTTCCTCATGTCCAACCTAAACCTCCTCTGGTACAACTTGTAGCCATTTCCCCAGGTCCTGTTTGTTGCCTGGGAGAAGAGGCCAAACCTCTCCTCATCACAGCCTCCCTTCAGGAAGTTGTACAGTGCAATGAGGTCTCCCCTGAGCCTCCTCTTCTCCAGACTGAACAATCCCAGCTCCCTCAGCTGCTCCTCATGAGACTTGTGCTCCAGACCCCTCACCAGTTTCGTTACCCTTCTCTGGGCACACTCCAGGGCCTCAATGTCTTTCTTGTAGTGAGGGGCCCAAAACAAAACACAGTAATCAAGTACAGAAGATGATTACTTCCCTGCTCCTGCTGGCCACACTATTTCTAATGCAGGCTAGGATGGCACTGGCCCTCATGGCCACTGGGCACAGTGTTTCTGTAGTACTCTTCAGAAATGTGAAGAACTATGTTGTAGGCTATTCCATGCAATATTTTGCAGAAGAACACTGGGTGCAGAATGGAGTGCTTTCGCAACAAAACATAGATGAAATACAAGAGAACATAACACCTGATATCACACCTTGTGGGGACTGAAGACAGGCTAGTTCAAGTCAGTTAGGAGCAGCAGTATGAACTCTGCTTAAAAAGGCAGAATTTGAATAAACCCAGCTTCCCAGCATACCCTAGTCCAAGTTTCTCCATAAAGCTCCATAATCACTTCAGAGCAAACTACAAAGGAAACATATATATGGGTATTTGTAACTGGACAGCTAATGCTGTGTATATACTATTAGACAGAAGTTAACATGATGCTCAAGATACAGCCAAAATCACCTTTAAGCAGCCCAGTCTTTATTTTTAAGAAAGCTGAGTTCCTTGTGTACATGCTCCAAATTTCTGTGTCAGGGCTAGACATTAAATTTTTAAGATGTTGCAATGCCTTATGTGAACAATCTTGCTGTAGCATTCAAGAGAGCAAGGCATGCACTATTCTTTCTTAAACCAACACCAAACACAATGAGCATCTTTCAAATATTAAAATCATTTTCAACTCACTTGCTCTTCCTGCTGGGGAACTCTGGGGAGCTGGGACTGGATGAACCATCAGATTTCAGGTCAAGCAAAGTTTCTGGACAGTCTACCATCTTCTGTACCCTCTCTGCAATGTCTCTGCTTGGAAAAAAGAGAAATCAGCTATATCCCAGGGCCAGAGTTCACCATTTTCAGAGTTCACCATTCACACTATTCTAGGTGTTCCTTCCAGGCCACATTACAAAGCTGGATCTCTCACATACACAGGAGGGAAAGCAAATGTATTTGTACTGAAAAGGACATATGCCTTACAAGCTGTTAAGGGCAGTGTATTAGAAATGGTCACGTTTTTGCTCATTTTAAGTTTATGTAATTTATGTAAAAGACTAAATTAATTTCAGTATTTTACTTTAAATTCTTCAGCTTTTTCTTTCACTGCCCACTCCCTCCTCACCCCCGCCTCCCCTCAACACACACAGACATTTCATGAGTCTTGAGAAGATTTAGGTCTCATTAGAGAGCTTTTATACTAATTGCATAAGGGATTTTCTGATTAACTGAAGTTAGCTAATGTCTCTATTTCAGGATAGTTCCAGTATTTTCTTTTTTCTGGTACCTATCAAGACACTTCTGAAGAAAGCTGTCTATGTGAGTAACTTAAAATTGAGGAATGTTACTTCAACAGGAATGGAAAACTCATTTCCCACCTCACGTTTTTGTTACATTTTTTGGTGTTTTCAGCAATGGAGTTTACAGTTCCTCATGTACTCTCTTGGTCAGCTATCTTACATGTACTCTTCACCTCACTGTTCATCATGTCTTCTTTTGTGCTAACAACTGCTTGTGACACTGAAAATGATTCCAATAAAACAATCTTGAAAATTGAACAATCCTGAAACTTCTATGACACATGAACAAGCAGGATGGACTGGCTTAGCTCAGTCATCCAAGACTGCATTTCATTAAGCTACAACTTCAGGATGAAGTCACACGACTTGTTGAGTTCACTGCTGCCAGAGAAAGAGCCTGCAAGTAAGTTTAACAAATCAATGGGAGAGACATAACGCAACAGTGACCTTTCTTTATTTTGTTGCAGGCTATGTCCCAGGGCCAGAGAAAGAGCCTGCATTCCAGCCTCTTTTGCTGAGTATAGCTTCTAGCAGTTCTGGCACTCAGACTTTTCCATGAGTTAGTTCAAAGTAGAACCTGGCAGACACTTATCCCAGTTGATTAATGGGCTAAATCAATTCCATGAAGGGCTCAATAAGTATTCAAGTTATCACAAGGAATTAGATGGGACTTGGTAGCTAAAAGAGATAGTGGAGGAGGGAATGCATGATGCCTGCTTTTCAGTAGCCATGAACTATTAGATCAGACCAATTGCAAGTGAAACTGCACGTCAGGAACCACCTAAAAAGTCTTCCAGAAAAATCCAAAAATAAACTCACAAAATAAGGCGTAGCATTCCTTACATTTAAGTTTAAAAATAAGCAAAAGAAAAGCTAAGTAAGCCCAAAGGTTTTCCAATTGCCATCTAGCAAAGAAAAGAAAAAGGAATTTAAGTTTATTCCTTGTTGTAGGAAACTTTTACAAATCTTCGAAGGGGATAGGGAATGATATGGTACATAAAGTAACAGATTGAGACACACAGTTGAAGAATGTTCTAAAGTGCTGAGGAGCTGTGACTACTCCGTTGGCTTAGACTGTTACAGAGAAGATGTCTCAAAAGATTTTTATTTTCCTCAAAGAAAGTTCTACACTATTTCTATTAAAATAATATCATAGGTATCTCATTAAGTTCCAAGATAATAAATTGAAAGAAAGAAAAATGTAATAATTCTTCCTGTTGTAAAATCACTGGTTTCCATATTACAGATGGCTTTTGCCACTTACAATCTTTAAGCTATTTCCAGAATTTCTTGCAATTGGGAAAACTGAGTATCAGTTGCAGGGCACTCGTATAGCTTTTGAGAACCTGTGCGCTCCTTGAAAGTGCTTTGTAACTACAACTGAGACAATCTTTATGATTTGATGATATATAATCAAATGAATCAGATGAAATATCATCTCTGTTGACCAGTAAAAAAAAACCAAATGGTAGAATGGTTATGATTTTATCAAATACACCAAACTGCTCTTGGACCCTAAGAATTTACTCTACCAAATAGTGTGATTGTATTTTTGTATCTCTTGTAGTTCCCATGGAAATTGGAGTCATTTCTTTTTAGAGTGATCTCTGTAATATATTTTGTCTATTTTAACTTCTCAACACAAGAACAAAACCAAACAAGAACAGATTTTTCCCCCAGATCAAAGCCTTGTACCCTCTTACTTAAGCACTGATTCTCCCTGTTTCCAAATATCTTTTTTTAATTCTTGCTTTCTGTTATTCATCCATCTCTATATCAGATGATAATCAGGACTTAGTTCCCATTCCAACCACTTCCAAGTCAGTTCTCATTCCTGACTATTCCCTTTCTGCGCATATCCATGCCCTTCTGTATTCCTTTTTTCACCCTCTCCTGTTTTCTCACCCTCTCTGCTTATCTTATCTTCCCACAGCTTATACCTCTTCTCCTCCTGTATGTTCTCAATGCCAATGGCACTACTCCGTCGCCCATGGAAACGGCTGGTTCGAGTACGTGATGGGCTCCTACCAGGCAAGGCAAAAGACTAGAAAAAAGGAAAGCGTTACAGGAAGGAAGAAGGGAAATGAGACAGGAAAACTGTGGTGAACCAGAAAGGGAGCCTGCAACACTAATCCAGAGTCTCTCTTTCACTTTGCTATGCTATGTAGTAGCACAATCCTGTTCCAAAAATGCAAGGAACAATACTTTCTGTCCATGAAAGTTTCTGAAGCAAACATTCAAACAAGTGGTAAGGGAGGGACAGAGATATACAAGATACAGAGCAAGATATACAGCTACAATACAGAGAAAGAAAAATCAGGAAAGGAGGCAAAAATCATTAAAAGGCAGTGAAAACTAGAAGTTAAAGGGGAGAAGGAAGAAGCAAGCCCAAGTTAATACCATTCTGTGACTTTGCAGTGGTAACAAAGAATGCGTATAATTGAGTAAATGGTAACCTTGAAATTCCCACCTTGAAAATTTCTTAGCTAACTCAAAGTTGTTTTTTCTTCAGTTTGCTTCTACTGACATGACTAATGCAGAGACCACAATAAGCTGCACATGCTTTGGCTAACATGACAACATTTCCAATATTAGAAACCGGGGATACTTTTCTGGAAACACATCTGTCATAGATTTATAATGCATCCCTATCAAATAAGACAGACTTTGATAGTGTATAGAAATATTCACTCTTTCTCTCATCCCAAACACTATTAACTCTTCTGTTTGTTCCAAATCTGAAAGTTCTATCTACAGCGAAGGAGTATTTTGAGTAAACATTGCCCATCTGTTTGTTTTAGAGAAAAAAATAAGTGACTGGTGAAATTGAAAAAATAATGGAAAAATTAGTGTCCTAATGTTTTCAGATCTAGTCATACAGTAGTACAGTACCATTTTGGCGAAAGCACAGTGCAAGCATTTTTTTTTAAAGTTATGACAACCCACAGGATCTAATATAGGACAACAGAGATAACTGTTTGATGCAGAATCATGTTTTGTTTTCTTCTTCCAGTCTCCATCAATCTTAGCTCTAGTTTACAGATGAACTGGCGCTAGAGATAGGCACAGACAAAAAAGACTGCAACACATGTTTTCACCACTTGTGAAATGGAAAGATACAACAGAAAGAGATTAACAGAAGGGCAGCAGGACAAACTACTAGTGAAAGAGAAACAATATGTACAGGTGGGTCACAAAGGTATGCCAGATTTCTTTTTACAGTCCACCCTAATACCTTACCGCAGCAATGGCCTTAGGGCCCTCGGCAACACTCTGGCTCAGAGCAAGGCCAGCTGTCGTCGGGCGGCTGGGCATGGTGGCTGGCTGCTGTTTTCTCATAGATATCCCCATGGTATCCAGGCTCTGGCTGCGGCCTCTGATCACCCGCTAAACAAAAGGGAGGCAGGGAAACAGACAAGCACAGATACTCATACAGACATGCACACAGTAGGGCACTATGAAAGTCACCACAGCAAGGCTAGAAAGCTGGGACAGACCAACACCAGAAAGACAGAAATCCTAACTCCTCAAAGGCAGCATCTTACGTATAACCCTTTTGTTGTTGTTCTGGCTGATTTATCGAATTCACTGCTAGTAAAGAACTCTTCCTCAAATATACTCTCTGCTTTTATTTCATTTTTTATATTGCAGTAGAGATTCCCTCACAGTATCCCAGCTTCCTGAGTAAGACAGCATCATCTAATGCAGTCTTGCCCAGTATAAGCTACAAAACACAAAACTGAAGACTGTAAGATCATGCATGAAGGAGAGAACAGCTATTTGAAAATATGCAGCATTTGAAAAAACCATTTTCTGATATTTCTCAGTCTTTTCCAACCCTTTGCAAAGGTTGTTTGTATACAATGATCTGTAAATCAGAGTACCTGCTATAAGTCAGAAAAGGACATTTTTGGAATAATTACTTTGAGATGTAGGTGGTTATGAAACTCCTGGTTACTGGCAAGAGGAGGGTAGATTGACTGTACATATTAATAAAACTCAACAAACCATCCAAGATCTGACCAAAGCTACACATATACTTAGTAGTTACACGTGACTGGCTTAGTTTCACCATCCTTAATAACACCAATCAGCCCACCAGACAAAACAAGGGGAGTTCATCTAAAGAAAAGCTTTCTTAGTAAGTCTCTTGTTAAGACAAAGAAATTGGTGACACAGAAATGGGAAAGTGAGAGAAAGGAAAGTGATGCAAGATTTTTCCTATATAAGCAGCTCAAAATTAATTTCTCCTGTTTGTTCAAAAACTTTGCTTCCACTTATTGTCTTGATCCTTGCACTTTTACAAGTAAGTTGTCACCTGGTCCTGACTTTTAAAAATGAAAGAAATCTAAGCTGAACAACAAGATATTAACTCTGGATTTAGAGGGAAAGTAAAGCATCAGTATTTTTTAAACAATACATGCTAAGTTGTGTTGGAAACTCTTGCGGTGGCTCCTGCTACTCTTTCAGCCATAATGAAAATGAACTGGAAGGAGTCTACTGTGAGAAATTAAAGCTGCTTTCTACTAGTTGTTGCAGTTCCTCCTGTAAGCACCTACACCCTTTCCAACAAGTCAAGGAACGAAACCCCATCTGACACCAGACACCAGCATGACACATAAAGAAAGAGTCTGATGTCCTAGGGACAGTATAGAATTCTATCAAAGACCAAGTTTTAGCTCCACAGAAAGATGTACACGAACTGGAAAAATGTGTATTTTTGAATGATACAATAAAGCACAGTGGAAGATGCTCTAAAGAAACACTGCTACAAGAAAAATCTTCCTTTCCATTTAATCTGCTGCACAGCTTATTGCTAGGGTCAATATTCCTGATGGGACACAGTGATCCTTAAATAAAAAAGAAAAAAATGGACAACTGATAAGGAACTTCTTCAATCAACTTTGACCCACCTTGAAATTCTCAAAGAAGCCCCCACTGCCATTCTCTGTCTTGTCATCTTCTTCTATGGGCAATCCCATCATACAGCGGCTGCGAAACTGCAGCTCCTCAAAAAGACTCTCCAAGAGGGCACTTCGTGTTCTCTCCTACATCAACATTGGGAATGAAAACACAGCTATAATGGGGAGAGTGTAGAAGGGTGCTGTTACTGCTGTATCTCTTGTCCTCATTTTAAAAACAAAAAATATCATGAAAATTAATTTAAACATTAACTGATTTAAGCTATGTAAATATGGAATTTATACTTGTAGATAGCCCCTTTAAACTCCTTTAAAATCAAATCATAACAGACACTAGGTTTTACAGGTGATGAAAATGAGGCATGGGTTGAGGGCAGTTTTTTCTTAGATCACGCAAGCAGCAGATCTTGGAACAGAATTTTGGGACTTTGAACAAAACTCTTAACATGTACCCTGAAATGCAGTACTGAGTCTCAACTAATACAGAATTTCCTACAGAAGTATCTGTGCATCATATACAAACTCTTACTTGAGGATTAAACAATGACATTAGAACGTATCTGTTCATACCCTACCATGCCAGTTGTAAAATACAAAGGAAGGATTCACATGGCTAAGAATAAACATCAGAAAATTAGAAATAGAAGACAGTAAAAAATTATCTTGTATTTTCTTAATCTTGCAGCAATACAGTATTATATTTTTTAATGGAAACAAACAGGTAATCGTCCCACCTTTAATTTAGCAAATTTTTCAGCTCGATAGCAGCTGTATTCAGCATTGATGAGCTTGACCAGAAGGAATTCACGAAACTCTGTACTCTACAAAACAAGATGAAAACCCGACTGGAGATGAAGACAGCATTAGGAACATTAGGTGATAAAAGCTCTACCTTACTACTCCTTAGACTTCCAAAGCCATCTAGCCAGACTGACAATACAACAGTGACTATAAATAAAAGGATGTGTAATATTTTTCCCTGCCATCTAACACTACATCAGAGAAACAAACCTTTCTAAATATGGCTGGATTTGGTAGAGAAGGTCCAAAGAAGGGCACATCATCTCGTGCTGTGACTGAAACCTGAAACAGTACAAGGGAATGAAATCAGTATTAGAAACCATAATACAATTGAGACTATTAGAGATTTCAAACTTCTGTGTTTGCACACATGTACATCGCAATGTATACATCAGAGATACTACTGTATCCTTCCTTCTGAATCATTTACATTTTCCAAAGGTACCTGTCAATTCCTGACCTCAGTGAACGGACCATAGAATTATAGAATTACTCAAGTTGGACCCTTAAGATCATCTAGTTCCAGCCCCCCTGATATAGGCAGGGACTCCTTCCTCTAAACCAGGTTGCTCAGAGCCCCATCCAGCCTGGCCTTGTATGCCTTCAAGGAGGAGGCATTCACAACCACACTGGGCAACATGTTTCAGCATTTCACCACCCTCAGAGTAAATAATTTCTTCCTAATAGCTAGTTTAAATCTACCCTCTTCCAATTTAAAGCCATTTCCTCTCATCTTGAAGCTACCTGCCCTTATAAAAAGTCCCTCCTCAATTTTCTTTGCAAGCTCCCTTCAGGTACTGGAAGGCTGCTACTGGGTCTCCCCAAAGCCTTCCCTTTTCCAGGCTGAAAAGCCCCAACTCTCTCAGCCTGTCCTCATAGTGGAGGTGCTTCAGCTCTCCATCCCTCATCTTCATGGCCCTCCTCTGGACCCTCTCCAACAGCTCAATGTTCTTCCTGTGTTGGGGCAACAGAACTGGATGCAGTGTTCAAGGTGGGGTCTCACAGGAGCCGAGTAGAGGGAGAGAATCACCTTGCTCAGTCGGATGGTCACATTTCTCTTGATGCAGCCTAGTATATGGTTATCCATCAGGGCTGCAAGTGTACATCGCCAGCTAATGTTGAGTCTTTTATCAGCCTACTTCCCCAAATGCTTCTCCTCAGGGTTTCTCTCAAGCCATTCTCCACCCAGCCTATATATGGGCTTGGGATTGCTTTAACTCAGGTGCAGTATCTTGCATTTGGCCTTGAACTTCACAAAATTGGCATAGGCCCACCTCTGCAGCCTGTCCAGGCCCCTTTGGATAGCACCCCTTCCATCTAGTGTGTCAACTGCATCGATCAGTTTACTGTTTTCTGCACTGTGGGAACTACACTCTGTATACACTCTACATATACACTCTGTATACACTCTATATACACTCTGGAACACCACTGTCCATGTTGCCTCAAAGATGTTAAACAGCACCAGTCCCAGCATGAATTCCTGGAAAAAAAAAGGAATACTCATCACCAGTCTCCACTTAAACACCAAGCCATTAATCGCAGGTCTTTGAGTGCAACCATCCAGCCAATTCCTTATCTAGCGAGTCATCCATCTATCAAATCATTTCTTCCCAAATTTGGCAACCAGGATGTCATGTGGAACAGTGTCAAACGCTTTGCACAAGTCAGGTAGATGACATCAGTTGCTCTTCCTTTGTTTACTGATGCTGTAACTCCATTACAGAAGGCCTCCAAGTACGTCAGGCATAATTTGCCCTCGGTAAATTCATGTTGATTGCCACCAATCAATTCATCTTTATTTTCCAACTGCCTTAGTAGGGTCTTCAGGAGGATGTGCTCCATGATCCTGCCAGGTGCAGAGGTGAGAATGACTGGCTGGTAGTTCCCTGGATCTTCTTTTTTTCCCTTCTTGAAAATGGGATTTTTGTTTCTCCTTTTCCAATCAGCGGAAATTTCACCAAGACTGCCACGACCTTTAAAATACAGCTTGGCAATTTTATCTTCCAATGCTCTTTTACCTCCCAGAAAATCATAAAGCAAAAGCAAAACACCTTGCTAAACCTTACATTTTAAAGTGTTCTTAATAATAAATATATATGAACAATAACCAGTGTATTTAGAGCAGAAAAAAGATGCTTCTATTCAGCCTGCAAGATTTACCTCCACCAGACAAACCAAATGTTAATACTAACTTTTTTTTTTAACCAGACTTCTCAGTAGATATATACTGCACACTAAGGGGAATATAAGGGAGTATCCCAGTACAGTGACACTACTTCTCTTAGACACATAATAAGCACACAGAAGCAGTTTCCCAGCAAGAGATAAGTGCATCTATGATTTTTTTTTTAAAGCATGCTCCTACCTCACATCCCAATGCCAAAAAATCGTAATGCAAGTACATTTTTTCAAATACTGCCACTTTGTTCTTCATAATACTTACCATGTATATGTAGCTATCTCACCAGATACTTCAGTTACTTTTTTCTTCATGTTTGAGATGGAACAAGGAACAGTATTATTCTTTTCCATTTCATACAACAAGGAACAACAGCAGTGCATCTTTACAGCAACTGCCTCAAAATAACACCCCATTGTAAATGTCACAGAGCACCTCACAAAGTTGTGTGAATTTAATGAGACTAAGGAAAGAGGCCCTAAATTTAGCTCAGATTTCTCACACTATTGGCCAGCTGCCCTAGTTACAAGGCCTCCCTCTCCCTCCCAACAGACCAAAATCCTGCTCTGCATTCTTAATCTTCTGTTTGTAAAAACTGATTCAAATAAATATCATCAAAATTCAAATTTAAGCATTAGGCACTAGAGCCTCTCAAGGAAGAATTATTTAAAATTCCTTTGGAAAAGCCCTTACATAAAACTGCAGTGGCCCCAGAGTCATGGCTGGGGTTATTTATTTATTTTTTTTTAATGAAGTGATATAGGCAACCTTACTACTGTGCCAAAAATAATGCTGTTGCACGTAGGCAAAAACAATACTGGGAAGAGAAAGACAAATGACAAGCTTCCCCAGCTGTTTTCTTAAAAGAAAAAATGCAGTGAATTTATGTGCCCTGTAAGATGAACAGTAAGAGAATTAGAACCTCAAGCCCCTGTTCATCAGGCAGCTATTCTCTCATGACAGACTCACATGTCCCCAACATATAAAACAAAATATTGTTGTTATTCCAACACTATCACTCTTTTTGTGGAAGACGAGATGGAGATCCTGTTACAATTTTGACATTCTTGCCACTCTTGTAGACCTAAAAGGCTTAAGAACTCATTATCACCAAATCAGAATTTTTACATAAAATGAGACACAGCACATCGATTAAAATGTTTCTATAAAGGAAAATCCATCACGGGACGCAAAATAATGTGCCCTGATTTCTCATCACGATTGAAAGTTGAATTTAAAGTCATAGAGATATCCATATACAGACATGCAATAAATTGTTCTGGCAAGAGGCTGTGGGTATAGAATCTTTGTTCTAGCAGGGCTCCTGTCAAATAGAGGACCTTAAGATGTAGCACTTCACTTTCAGATGAGCATTGGCTCCAGGATCCACAAAAGTAGATGCAGCTGGTTAGAAGTCCACAGAATAGGCCAGCGAGCTCTACTTGACATACAGTTTCAGGATAAGCAAGCTCTGTGCTATGATCTATTACTAAGCATCACACAAAGTTAGGTAAATGAGCTTTTCTTGATAATGCAAGAAAACCTCTTTCTTTCATTGAAAGAAAAAGATTACCCAAAATGTGATCACTTGCTCTTTGTGCTCTCTGATATTTTATCTGAAATTTTATCTAATACAAAACTTATCTGAATTTGTCTTGCATTAAATAAATTAAAGTGCATTAAAGTGCATTAAATAATTAAAGTGCTAAGCTTTATAAATCTATCAGCTACACTGGAAAGCACACAAGTACATAGTTTTGCTTTTTTTTTACATTCTATTTGCTAGGTAGAGATAATAAGCATTCCTGGACTCTGTTCAGTAAAATATTTGCGTTCCAGAATCTTGATTATTCTCAGTCTTAGTTCTTAGTCAGACCTCTGCAAACCTACAGAATAGAGAATAGTATAGCAGGATTGAGACTCCTAGTCAGAGATCAAAGTGTAGGTAAAGGGGAAGGAGAGCTTTTCACTGAGAATGTTGTTAGCATTTACTGACAAAGCAAGCAAAGCTGTTTGGAGGACACATGGCCAATCTTGTACCTCTCCCAGAAGCCCACAAACAGGTTTTCGCTTCAAGGGTTGAAGTCAATACATCACCACAGAAGAATCTGCTGGCTCCATTTACCTTGTAGAGGGTCTCCCCACAACTGCTGTGAGTGAGCTGAACTACCACGTATGCATGTAGGAAATTAGAAGCAATCATATCAGGCACAAAAGGTGTGCTTTCATCCTGGAAGATGATGGCTACAATGTCGTTCCCAATGTGACGCTTCCGCTGAAGCTGAAGAGTAAAAAGTAAAAAAAAAACGTGGAGGTGAAAAAGAGTAGAACAGTATAATAGGGCCTAAAACACCAGTCTGTTTAGCATCTCCAGCTCATCTTCTCTAGTAAAAACCCCATCACTACTTTTACCATTTCTCCTGCCATACTTCCCAATATCATGCAGTTCTCCTTAATTAACTCCTCAATAAATACCCCTCCCCTCTTACCCACGCTTGCATTCCTTAGTTCTCCTCACAAATACCTGTTGGGAATCTCCTTCTGCGAAGGGCAGTTTTGTAGACACATGAAACATGATCTCTTTGCCCCGGAAATTCGTATAAACTGATTCAGTGCCTGTTTGACCTCTAATGACATCCAAACCTCCCCGGAACCTGAATAAATCCACACCACACAATAGGTTGGGCAGGACACAGATGAAAAAGTGGAGAGAACAAAGAAGATATTAGTAACGCTAGCTTATGCATCAATAATATCAAAGGTAACTTTAAAGAAATCAGCAGCAGTGTAGTAACTCATCTTCCAAAAACAAATGCAATAATCAAAGCTGCAAAATGTTTCTACCAATGAACAACCTTTCTTGTTAAACCGGTGAAGCTAAACCAGAGATCCTCAAACGATCTACTTGGTTTAGCATTCTTCTGAGGAAACAGAATCCATATTTTAGAACTGCAGAAACTAGCTGTGGCAGAGCCACAGAATCACAGAATGGCCCAGGTTAGAAGAGATCTCAAGAGTCACGAATTTCCAATCCCCCCTGCAGCAAGCAGGGCCACCAGCCTCCCCACTTAATACTAGACCTGGCTGCCCAGGGTCTCATCCAACCTGGCCTTGAACACCTCCAGGAACAGGGTACCCATAACCTCTCTGGGCAGCCTGTTCCAGCACCTCATAGTAAAGAACTTCCCCAACTTAAATCTTCCCTCCTTCAACTTAAAACCATTTCCCTTTGTCCTGCTGTTAGCTACCCTTTCAAAGAGTTGACCCGTGTATAATCAATGAATAGTAAGATGTTACAATTACAAAATAAACAAGAGAGTTAGGCAAAACAGATTATAATGATACAATATATTGTTTACAGGCTCCCTTGATGCACTGAAAGTCTGCAATTAGGTCACCCCGCAACCTTCATTTCTCCCTGTGACTGTTTTAATAAACAAAACAAGCTTGCATTTATACAGTCAAAATAAATATTTTCTTTAATGATCCTGGGTGACGTGTTGAAATACTCCAAGATCCCTAAATGAAAATTTTTAGCTGAGGCCTAAACTCCAGCAGATTACCAGCCAGGATGGTTGACAAAAGCCTGTTGGGCTTCTCCACCCTCCATCCCAGCACTCCATATTTAGGACTCAACCCACCACATCTCACTAATACCAAAGATAGCATTATTCCAGGAATGGACCAAAGCTCCCATTTCCTCAAACTGCATGCATTGGTATACAAGCATTTCCAATGTGCTCCTGAACCTGAGGTGCCCTTTGGAGTGGCAGATGCTGCTATCAGCCTTGTCATCCTCTGATGATGACTTACATTCCTTTAGCTTGACCCCAGTATCCCTGATGGAATCTCCCTCTCCCATCAATCCTTGTTTAAAGCCTTCAGTCTGCCCAAGTTACAGGCTGAGAGATATTTCTCCCATCAGAGATCAAATCACTGAACCTTCTGCGTTCCCTAACCCATCCTGACTTTTAAAACATGCTTGTTACACACCCACGGAAATCCTGCAGCTGAATCTTGTCACCAAGGAAATCTAAGAACTCCAGGAAACCCAGACTCTCTTCTGTGTTACTGAAGACTTCTTCTTCAGTTGTCTTCAAAAGGAAAAGAGAAAAGCAAAAACAGTACAAAGATCAGGCAAAAACACAGTTCAATCAGCTTTGAGGACCTGCACAAAGGAAATAAAGTCATTATAAGGCAAGATTGTGTCCTTTCTGTTTAAGAATTCTCTATTTTCCAGTATACCATACTTTCCACACTGCAGACCTTGTTATTACATTTAATCTAAGAAAACTGACTCTTTCTGTTTTTTCTTGAGGATGGTAGGATCTGAACTACCTTACCTGTCCAGGTTTCTGGTAGATTACCCCAAATTTGAAGTTATTGCTTATAACATGTTCATCAAATGCTACAATAAGCTGTGAAGCCTGTGAAAATGAAAATACAAATTATAAATTGCACTTAATTAGCCAGCTCTTGATGAAAAGGTACACAGAATCAGAAATTTATACCTTGGGATAGAGGACAGGAAAGAAGCGTTCAACATTCACATCTTCACACAGTAGCTGTAGAGAGACAGAGAGGGAAATAAAAGTGTGATTATCATGTGCTCTAGATTGCTGCAAGCAACCAAACGTGGACACTCATAATTATCTGACAAGACTCCTTTCAAGAGAAAAAGCTGAGTTAACATTAGAAAAGAAAGAAGAGGAGCTAAATGAAAGAGTGAAAGGAGAAGTGTATGAAAGTAGTGGTGTGAAAAAGTAGAAGAGAGAGAAGTGGCAGGACAGTAACGTGAAAGTAACTAGGATAGAATCAAAAAGAGACCGACTCATGATGTAAGAGTGAGAAGGCAAGCAAGAATCTCACCTTTGCCATCTGGACAGCATTGGGAAATTCATTCAGACAGGAAATGGGGATCAGATCATGTTTGGTACCAGATCGTGTCCTGAAATAAAAAAAAAAAACACATTAAAGTGAATGTTGAAAGAGGCAGGTGCAATACCGGCTCTTTAAGCAAACAGTAGCCATCCCTTCAGATTGTTCTTAAAACAGTTAATTCCAGAGGAATAATTTTAACCTTAATGCATAAAATCACTGAAAACAAAGGGGTACTTACTACTCATCACTTGTTCTGAGAAGCAGAGAAAGACAAAACAGGCAAGCTCAAGAAAGACATGGGCCTGTCAGAGCAAGTCCAAAGGTGTGCCATGAAAACAACCAGAAGGCGGGAGCACCTGTCCTATGAAGACAGGATGAGAGGCTTGGAGTTGTTCAGCCTGGAGAAGCAAAGGCTCCAGAAAAATCACATTGTGACCTTTCAGTACTTAAAGGGGGCACATATGAAGAATATTTAAAGACTCTTCACCAAGGCCTGTAGTGTTACAAGTAATGGCTTCAGACTGAAAGAATCAAGATTTAGATCATACATAAGGAGGAAATTCTTGTGACACTGGCATAGGCTTGCCAGAGAAATTGTGGATGCCTGATCTCTGGAAGTGTTCAAGGCCAGGTTGGATGGGGTCCTGGGCAATCTGCTCTTGTGAGAGGTGACCTTGTCAACAGCAGGGGGTTGGAATCAGATGCTCTTTAACATACAAAAGCTTCCTTTTTCCATATATATATTAAAAAAGAGGTGTCTTTCTAGGGAAGAAGTAAGATTTGGCTGTCAGAGACCTCTTCCACCAATATAAACAAGTTACTAGGCAAAGGTGCTGCATATAGTAGGATATCTTAACTGAGAAATAAATACCCTTCACCAGTCTTTTCAGTGTAGGAAGGTTTCTAGGTTCAGATAAACATTCCCTGGTTCAGCTCATTAGTATGCTCTCAATTTTTCCCCTAGAAGATTCTTGCTCTGAAGTGTTCTCCACATACAATGGTCACAGTGGCAGTCTTGTAGTTGATTCCTACCCACGTTTTCCCTTGGTACTGAATGAGAGATGACAAGCAGCAATGGTACGTCAGTTTGTTCAAGCAGCATACTGCCTACCAGAAGTGGCCTCAGTCAACAGAGTAGGAAATAGCTTTTCTGCTGCATGCTTCTCATCTACACAAGATCCATCTCTATTCTTCCTCTAGTTTATTCAGCAGCTCTATGGGCTTTGTTAAAGCCATAAAGGAGGCACACTGGCACATCAGAGGCTGTCCTGGGAAGTTAAGAGATGTCCTAGCTCACCTTCAAGTGAGATTTAGTCTCAAGTACAAAGCCCAAAGATAGGCCTGAGCTAGTCTGCTCTCAACTAGGAAAGGCACATTCCCTCCTTCAAGAGTGCTCACATCTTTAAGTAAACAGAATTAACAGAAGTTTATTTTTGAAGGCGGAACAAATAATTTTCTCAGAAGAACTGTAAGGATGTGCCCGCAAATGCTTCAGCTTTCTGAAGGAAATTACTAGAAGAAAGTCAGAGGAGGGCAAGAAATGAAGGCTCAAAGCTTTCTTTACAAGCTTCTCTAAGAGAGAGACATGAGATTCACACCCACATCTATGCAGAGAAAGTACAAGGTAAGACGAGAGACACATCACAGTAACACATACTACTACCGAAGACACTGTTACCTCAGCAACAAGCGTAGATTTTCCTGTTTCTCAGACTGTTCATACTTCACAGAAAGTATCAAGTAGCCCAAGGACACATCACTGGAATAAAAGTTCTGGTGCTCCTGAAAACAGGAATTCAAAATGCATTATTCCCAACATGCTTTCCAGAAAGTATACCAAAGTTTTTACAACCTGTAAACTCAGGACTGGCTTGTTTTTTCTTTAAGTAGCAGTGGCATGCTCGAAGATATGCTAACGCTTGCTTTGCAGCCTCCTTGGTAATCAGTGCATGAGTATAGAAGTTCATCCACTACCAGTAGAGTACTTCTGAGAAGAAGTAGAATGAGAACATCGAACAACAGGTTTTGAATGACTCCAGTTTACTGTAAACAAATTCCTATATTTGATAGATTTTTCCCTGTACCCATTTATACTCTGCATAACACTAAGCATAACTGGGTGTAGTTATGGAAATTTTCCATACAAGCAGTAATGGCAGGGTCAACACATCAGATACAACATACCCTATTGTTGTTCTCTATAAGCATGTACAGCTCAGCGAGGACGGAGCCAGAATTCCAGGAAACTACTTTGCAGGTAGAGGATGTTCTAAAACTAACTAACACTAGCATTGCTTCAACTTCAGTGGAGTGTACCTCAAACAGAATGTAATTAAACTTCATCCCTCTAGCACTGAACTGTAATGCAAACATTTTTACAGGGTCTATACAGAAGTGACTGCAGCCATATATTTCTTCCAGGTATATGGTCATAGGCCTGGTTGTATCAACAGAGGTTAAAATCTACAGACAAGTAAAATGAATGGAAATCTCTAGCACGAATAGAACTCTGTATAGGTGGAATCATCCAGAAATACTTAGATCTTTCTCACCTTCCTAGCAGAGGTTAATAACCATCTATGAATGAAAACCATTCATAGACAGTTCTGAAGTTGGCCACTACACATGGACTAGTCCCTGCCCTGATTAAGCTGTGCATGTCCCTGTTCATTGCAGAGGAGTTGGACTAGCTGGCCTTTGAAGATCCCTTCCAACAAAGGATTCTATGATTCTATGACTCTGAAAAACTCTGATCAAATAAAGAGACTGAATTAACACTTCAACAAATGGTCATAAGTTATTGTGTTTGAGGTGTAAGCAGGACAGAGAGATCAATGAGAATGTCATGCAGGAGATTCAATTACCTTTGGATTTAATCAGAACAGTATCATAATCTTTCCCTACTAGTGAGAACTTCTGTTGAAAGTGGTAGTAGTAGTACATTCCAATGTTAAGTCTCCAACCCAGAAGGATATGGTGAGATTAAAGTGGTATTTCTAGGCTAGAAGGTAAGGTGAGAGTCCTCCTCAGTAAAGCAAAGTAAGAATAAATAAAACATAATAAAACCAAATAAAGAAATCCCAAACAAAAATCATCTCAGCTACACTACAGTGGGCAGAATTATCAGTGCTTCCTTATGCCTCGTGGCCATGGAAATCATGAGAAATCTCAAATTCAAGTAAAGGAGTCACTGGCAATCCGAGAAGACAGCTAGGTATTGTGCAGTCAATAATCAGGATTGAAAGATTCAGGAATTGCATCACAGGAAGTATTGTGTAAATACAAACCTGCACACAACACAGAAATTTTACGTGCTGAGACAGTCAGTTAAGTGTCAATCGTACAGTCAGAATTTCCATGATCTGGAAGGTGTTCTATGAAAAGACTACTCTGGACACAACTAATTAATAAGAACTCCATGGGAGCAAACTGTCATTTGATCAAAATCAGTTGCTGTACAGCTGGCTAGTCTGATAGCTCCTTCTTTAGCCTTCTGCCTAGAAAATACAGAAAGTCTGTTCTGTATCTGTTGGATTGCAACCTCTCCAAATACAGCTGTGAGATCTTCTTTTGCTGTGGAAAAAATTAAAACAAATTTTATATTAGTAGTAGTACTGACTAGCTGTGAAATAAGAGATAGTGATATACTAGTTATATACTCTGACATCTACATGAATGTATGCATCTTAAAGTAAACGGGCATAAATCGGTTCCATCTTTGAAAAAGAAAGGACTAATTAAGACTACAGTTACTCCCCTGATTCTGGATGTAAAAATGAAACTATTGAACTTTTTTAAAGTATCAGAGATATCGTTGTCCTCAGTTCCTCCTTGACACACACACAAAACAAAGATTCAAGGAACAAAACAAGAGCGTGCTCAAATGACTAAGATGAAGACTAATATCAGGGAAGTCCATAAATCATAGAAGTCAGATGCTAGAGTGCATGCCCAAGACAAGCTGTTAAGGAAAAGATGGCACAATACTGACAAAAATTCAGGACCAGAAGCCATAAAAAAAAGAAAATGAACAGAAGTCTGAAGTTAGCTGCAGCCAGAAATGAGAATGAGCTGCAAAGACTAGAAAACCAAATTCTTTTTGATGAGAATTCAGGGCCAGACCTCAGCAGGCCTGACATATTAGGATCTCAGTTGCTATGGGAACCAGGCTATTAGCTATTCAGCTGACCATAACCTGACAGAGCTGCACAATGGGGTACAATCTTTTCCACAGTAACAAGCACTAGCATTAATGAAGGTCTCAAAATAATAGAATTGTTACCAAAGCCATTGTGGATTCCTACCCTGATTTTGAGTGTATGCCTAGGTCAAAAGTATGAACAAAACCTCTAACTTCCTCCTTGTGACTTTTTTTCTTCCATGATTTTCTTTCTCTGTAAAAACACCTAGGCAGCAGACGGCAGAACCAGAGTCCTTCAATCCTTCAACACACAACATTTATTTTTAGCTGTTCCAAAGTTAGAGATGAACTATCAAAATGCTTTATGGATAATACTGAAGGCTGTGACTCAATGGTGACAAAATAACCCAAAGCTGACATGACCTATGTATATTTGTATAGGTAGGTACAAATCTGAGCAGTCACTGAAGCAGTTTCTACAACATTTAAGGCAGTCTGAAAAGAAGTTTGGACTCTGCAAAAGCAATTACTGTGTTCCATAAGTCCAAGGGAAAATAGAAGACACAAAGAAAGTTGGCAGTTTGCCTGAGAAGTTACTGAGTTATTAAGACATCTGCCATGCTCTTAGCCATTTGGGATTCTTTTGGATAAAATAGAATTATTTTGTGTACTCATTAACAAGAGTTGCACGACAGGCCAACAAACAAGAGGAAAGGAAAAGAAGACTTCCCCAAGACCTGGTCTGCTTCATCAGTTCTTCTAACTGCAGGAGTATATGAATCCAGAGAACACTAAAAAACCTTTATGGGATTCAAAATGGGCCTATTAATTTTTCCCTAAGAGAAATGAGAATTTTAAAAAGCTTACTTCAAAAAACTTTGCAACTTCTGGTCATCCAGTAAAATACTGGGATGATTTCATCCCCGAAGAAGGAGGAAAAGCAGCTTTGGAGGCACAATGATAATGTGATGTGACAAAAAGACAAAAATACCTGAGCCTTCAAACATGTCAACAACAAAAGATAACAAACTTATATCACAGGGTAAACAAGATCATTATTCCTGTGAGCCCTCTTGCTGGAAGAGTGCAAGGTGTTTGCTGTTTGCCAGTCAAATGACAACAAGAACCTAGAAGATACTGCTGTTGTCAACTGCAGAACACAGAACCACTACAGCTGGACAGGTACAAAAATAATACCTTATCAGGTTGTCTCTGTTTAGGCCTTCCCTCCATCTCTACTTGGAGAAATCTGGAAAGAAAAAGATATCTATATCTTGGGCTGATGTCATCTTTTCATGTTAAGAAAACAGTAGTAGGCTGCTAAGTATATGCATTTGCACGCCAGAAGGAAAAGGTCCTGAATAGGAAAAGGCTTGCAGTCTTAGGTAGTCAGAGAACATGCTTACTAAAAAGATAGACTTGCAGTAATGAAACAAAATTACAGAAGCCTGAAATACAAAAGAGATTGTTATAGTTACACCTAGTTACAAAAATGTACTTTGACTGCTTCAATGTATCAAATAGTTTCCACATCTTTTCTCTCTGCTCAGCTAGAATTTCATGCTAACAACTTCTTTTCACTAGTAGGGAAGTTAATTTTGAGTAAGTTCCTCAACATAGTTCATAGTACAGCAGTAACAATACTTTAAATCAGTACAAAGAAAGTACAGCATAATGGAGAAATACCTGACCAGATATGAACACAAGGCAAGAATGATTTTTCACCAGTACTGCCAGTTTGTAGTGCTTGTGAAACTGCACTCTAAGATCCTGATGGGCATTTTCAACATATGCCTCTTCATTATAGTCTTTGAAAACAAGGTAGGCATTTAGTAATTCCCACAGTACTGTGCACAAGGTTTTATACCCTTTTTCCTATCTGCAAAATGAACCTTACCAAACTTCTCATCATATAAAGAGCAGACCAAGAAGCATAGAATTAGAGCTCCATAATGGCTGGACTGTCATAGCACTTTTTTGTGTGGTTGCTCCACACCATCTGTAGTATATTGGGTTTTTGTTTGTTTGTTTGTTTGTTTGTTTTTTAATTAAAAATTTAAATTAAAAAAAAAAAAAAGTCAGTTTCAGACTTAGCATATACATACCCATAATATAAATATGCATACAGATTCTTGTTTTATGTTTGTCATAGGGACTTCTCACTGAGATGCACTGAGGATCCCAACTGCTATCCAGATAATCTCTTGAGATAGCTCTGCCATCTGCTGGAGGTCCCAATGTGGGACATCAATAAGAGGCTACCAATTCTGATAAAGCCAGAATACTATGATGCAATTACAAAACTATGACCTGCCTGCTATCACGGAAACAAGATGGGGTGAATCACACAACTGGAATAGGATGATCAAAGCCTACAAGCTTTTTGGAAGAGATAGAAGGGGCAGGAGGGGTAAAGGAGTTGCCCTATATGTTAAGAAGTGGATAGACCATGAAGAGCTGTCTCTGAGAAACAGCCACATTCAGCTTGAGAGCACATAGGTTAAAATTAGGGACCAGACCAATAAAGGACATCTGGTGGTCAGGGTCTACTACATGCTGCCTGATCAAGAGGAGCCTGCTGATGGGGCTTTCTTGCACCATTTACAATGGATTTCGTGCTCATAACCTCTCAGCCTGATGGGGGATTTCAATCACCCAGCTGTCTGCTGAAAAAGCAACACAGCAGGCTGCAAACAATACAGAAGACTCCTGGAGTCTGCTGAGGATAGCTTCATAGTCTGTCCAATACCTGGACAGACCAACAAGAGGTGAAGTGTTGTTGGACCTGGTTCTCACCAATACAGAGGAGATAATTAAAGAGGTTCAGATAGGAGGCAATCTGGACTACAGCAACCACGCTGTGGTTGAGTTAGTGATCTCAAGGAACATGGGTCTGGTCAGAAGCAGGGTCAGAATCTTGAGCTTCAGAAGATAAAAATTCCGTCTGTTTAAGGAATTGTTGGATGAGATCCTCTGGAAAACTGTCCTTAGGGACATAAGAACAGATACATGGGTGGTACTTCTCAAAGGACAGCAGAAGATATGGGAAACTGACATGGCTGAGTAAGGACCTGCTTGGCAAATTAAGGGAAAAGAAGAAAATGTACAGGCAGTAGAAATGGGGATGAATGGCCTGGGAAGAATATAGGGATGCTATCCAGACATGCAGAGATGGAATCAGGAAAGCCAAGGTGCAGATCAACTGAACTTATTGAGAGATGTGAAAAATAACAGGAGATTCTACATATATATTGGTCAAAGAGAAAGGCAAAGAAGATTGTACTTCCTCTATTAAATGAGAAGGTAGAACTGCCTTCCACGGACATTGAGAAGGCTGAGGTACTCAATAAATTCTCTGCCTCAGTCTTTACTGCTAGTTTAACTTCCCATGTCTCTTGAGTTACTCGGTCTTCAGGCAGAAGGTGCAGGAGTAAAATCCCTATTGCTATAAGCATAGAGCAAGTTCAAGACCACTGTGAGACTGATTGATGTTGTACAAGTCTATAAGGCCTGACAACATGCATCCCAGGGTTGTAAAGAAACTGAATGATGTAGTTGCCAAGCCATTCTCCATCATATCTGAAAAGTCATGGCTGTTGGGAGAAGTTCCTGGTGGCAGAAGAAAGAGAAATATCACTCCCATTCTAAAGAAAGGGAGCAAGAAAGACCTGGGGAACTACAGGCCTGTCAGTCTCACATCTGTACTTGTGGAGATCATGGAATAGGTCCTCCTGGAAGCTGTGTTAAGGCATATGCATTCAGGACAGCATAAGGACATGTTATCATGCATGATCAGCCTGGTGGCCTTCTGTGATGGAGTGACAGTATTGGTGGACAAAGGAAAGGCAACTGATATAATCTACCTGGACTTCTGCCTTTGATATGGTCCTACACCACATCCTTATCTATAAATTGGAAAGAAATGAATTTGAAAGGTGGACTTTTTGATGGATAAAGAATTGGTTGGAAGGTCACAGCCAGATGGTTGTAGTCATTAAACCTATGTCCAAGTGGAGACCAGTGACAAGTTATGTCCCCCAGAGGTCCATCTAGGTACAGGTGCTCTTCAACTTCTTTATCAATGATCTGGATAGTGATATTGAGCACACTCTCAGCAAGTCTGCTTATGGCACCAAGCTGAATGGTGCAGTGGCTTCTAGAAAGGCTTGGAAAGAGGGCCCATGAGAACCTATTGAGACTGAACAGACCAAGTGTAAGGTGTAGGGTTCAACTTGGGTAAGAGCAATCTCAGATATGTGTACAGGGAGAAGAACTCACTGGGAACAGCCCTGTGGAGAAGGACTTGGATGTCCTTGTGGACAAAAAGTTGTACATGAGCCAGCAGTGTGCACTCAGAGCCCAGAAGGTCAACTGTATCCCAGCCTGCATCAAAAGAGATATGGCCAGCAGGGTGAGGAGGTGATCATCCCACTCTGCTCTACTCGACTGCATTCGGGAGTAGGTCCCCCAGCACAAGATGTGGAGTTGTTGGAGCAGGTCCAGAGGAAGGCCACAAAGATGATCCGAGGACTGCAGCACCTCTCCTATAAAGAAAGGTTGAGAAAACTTTGCTTGTTAATCCTGAGGAAAAGAAGGCCCCAGGAAGATCTCACATTCCAGTACCTGATCGGAGCTTATACACAGGCCGGAGACTGACTTTTTACATGGTCTGATAATGACAGAACAAGGGGGAATGCCTTTAAACTAAAAGAGGGGATATTTAAATGAAAGATTCAGATGAAATTTTTTACTCAGATAGTGGTGAGGTGCTGGAGCAGGTTGCTCAGAGAACTTGCGGACTCCCCGTTTCTGGAGGTGTTCAAGACCAGGTCATGTTTTCATGCATGACTTAAATAAACCCAACATGCCTATGATATGGGTGAAGTTTTCTACCCATGGATAGAGTATTCTGTGACAAGAGTCTTTTTCACCTTCTTCTCTGAGACATACTTCCTCACCAGCTTACAGGCCTAATGGGATATAGACACATACTCATGTCAATTAAATCAAAGAACAAAATCTGGGTACTTGAGAAGAATGGAGAGAGGAGTCTTTATTTAGTACTTAATCACTGATGTTTGGGCACTTTGCGAACATACGGAGTTTGACGGAAAGGGAACTCCTTCGTGTTCACTTCACAGTATAGCTGAGGTTGGCAAAGACTTCTGAGTCTACCTGGTCCAACTCCTACTCAAGCTGATTCACCCAGAGCAGGTTCTTCAGGACCATGTTCAAGTGGCTTTTGAAATTCTCCAAGGAGAAGATTCCACAACATCTCTGAACAACTTGGGTCAGTGCTCTGTCACCCAATATAAAAAGAAGTGATGTTTAGACAGAATTTCTTGTGTTGACGTTAGAGCCCACTGCCTCTTGTCCTGGCATTGGGCACCGCTGAAAAAAAAACAGGCTCAGTCCTCTTTGCACCCTCCCTTATACTCCATTATACTGTAAAAGATAAGATTGATTGTTAAGATCCCTCCACGCCTTCTCCAGGCTGAACAGTCCTAGCTTTCTGAGATTTTCCTCACAGGAGATAGGCTCCAGTTCCTTAACCATTTTTGTGGCCCTGCATAGGACTCCTTCCAGTATGTCCATTCCTCTCTTATACTGGGAGACCCAGCACTAGACACAGTACTTCATATATGGCCTCATCAGTGATGACTGGAGAGGAAGGGAAACTTCTCTTCACCTGCTGGCAATACTTTGTTTAATGTAGCCCTGGATACCATTAAACTTCTTAACAGCAAGCATTTACACTTGATGGCCACCAGGACCCACTGGTCCTTTTCTGCAGAGCTGCTTTCCATCTAGGTAACTTGTAGTATGTCCTGATGCCAGGGGTTGTACCTTTCCAGGTGCAGGACTCTGCATATCTCTTGGCCTTCATGAGATTCTTGTCAGCTCACCTCTCCAATCTGTTGAGATCCCTCTGGATGGCAACATAGCCCACTGGTGAATTCATCACTCTCTCATTTTGTGTCATCTGCATACTTGCTGAGGATACACTCTGCCCCATTCCTACTTAGAAGAAACAATGATGATACAGCACTGCTTAAACAGAGGGATGGACAAGATGACCTCCAGAGGCCCCTTTCAACCTCAGTTTTCTATGATCCTATGATATCAGGTCAGCAGTGAATTCTACAACTGTACTGAAAACCACTTCATCTTTCATTACAGCTGAAATCAGAAACCTTTAAGGAGAACCTTAAATTTATCACGACAGAAAAATAATTACAGTTGGCAAACTGAAGGATTCCAGAATGTCATGGGACATGTCCATTACAGCAGATCTGGACAGAAAGTCTTCAGAAAGAGTGCTTTACTAATAAATGATATTTACAACAGCTTCTAGTTGCATACTATACAAGATCATTCAGGCAAGTCAGACTACTGCAGAACAAGTCCCCAGCAGTGTGCAAAGCTCCTTTTCTCCATTTTAAACTTACTAAGCAGTCACACAGACAGATCACTGAATAAGATACAGTGTGAGTGTACACAGTTGGCTTTCTTATTCCCTTATAAACCGTCTCTCAGAAAAGACCATGGTTTTGTTCCCTTGTCTTGGTAGTTAAAATCATCCTGAAATCCACTCTGGGAACCAATTAGTTCCCTAAAACTGCCAATACCAATGTCTGGTCATCATCCTCATTTGCTTATCTATTCTGAGAAAAATGGACCACTTTGCTCATTGTCAATGGAATTGTGCTCTTAGCACAGAAGTCACCTCTAGAACTCATACCACATACATTTCCAATACTATTTCACATTTTTTCTCTCATCATCTCTACTTTCCATGAGCCTCAGAGGAGCTTCTTAACCAAATGTAAATATTCTTTGGTACAAATCTTTCACTTCTGTTAACACACAGGAAGATGCACAGGTCACAGGGGGCAGGATCAACTTAACACACTGCTGGCCATGCAGTTGTATGAATTTCATTTACTTAGTTCAAGGGATGTTGAGTGGCAGTTATTTCTAAATCCACCAGGGAAAGCCTGAGATACAGTTCAGTCTTATGTCTGGCAGGTCAAAGAGGGATCTGAAGACTACCCTTACCTTCCCTAGGAAATGCTTGCGGTATAGCTTGGCTGTGGGGTCACTCTCCAGTTTCACCTTAACACTCCAGGGAAAGGGTACATCAGAGAGAGTTGGACTGGAGAGGTTGTGGCTTGTCCCTTCAATCCAGTAGCCCCCAAACTGGGGTAAGATAATGAGAGGATATGGCCACCCTTTCTGTAATACCTGTTTGGAAGGACATGAGGAGAACATGAAAGCTGAAAGGTCAGTAGCCAAAAAGGCCAGTAGGCTGAAAGCTCAAGGGAAAAATCAGAGAAGAGTAGTACAGACTCACCTCATGGATGCTCGGGTAAGGAATATACTCTTCTTCTGTCTGAAATCAGAAGAGAATGTTAGCAAAAATTAGCAAAAGTGTGGGAGATCTTTTAGATTCTTTTCCTCTCATGATAGCACAAACTGTGTCTTTAGTTTCTGCTCTGCCCTAGTCCACCTTTAGAGTTTTATTTTAGAATTTTAAGTTGGACTTTCTTTCCCAGGTCTCAGCATTGTAATATAAAACTTTGAGAACAAAAATCCGTAAAAGCTAATTTTAAAGTTAACACGCTTGAGCTAGAACAGAAAAAAATTGAGAGGAAAAGTTTAAGGATAAAAATCTGTTTTTATTGGCCTAAAATTGAGGGAAGCACATCAGCTTTCTTGTAGCATCAGAGTCTTCAAGCAGACAATTGAAATAAATGCATTGTGTTTTCATACATATTATTAAGGGTCTTACAATGAAAAAAATTGAATCAATTATTTTGTCAAAACTAGGATTTTTAATAATATTAAACATTTATTGGAGTAACTTAAATCAGAAAAAGGAAAACACTGTCTTTCGCGTACACACTAACACCTCTCACAGCTAATTAAAATGAGTGTTTTTAAGCTCCCTATTCACTCCACACTGAAAATGCAGTTCCAGCCTGGTCAGTAATCATCTGTCATTATCAATAACTTAGGAGGCAACAATGACTGAGCCTGACCTTGAGAGGAGCTGGAAGGGAACATCTTTGTTCATCCAGACGACTCCCCTGGAAACAGAAAGTCATGGACTGTGAATCCTGTGTTTCAGCATGTTTCTTTCATTTACCCTCTGCATTCTTCTCCATATTCTCAACTTGTATGTTTTTGTTCTTTATAATCTTCTGTTTTAAGCAAATTGGGAAGTTTGGAATAAGCAGGAGGAGTGAAGATGGAACTTGGCCAGGCTATTCCTAATTTGGCATTAAAACTCAAAAGCCTTACAATTCCTTAAAAGCAGAAAGCTGGCAGAAATGAAAATAATTATCCCAAAGGAATTCTGTTATACATTTTTCCAGTCTCTTTAAGCTACTCTACTTCTTATTCAAACAATAAATAAACAAAGATTTATTGATAGAAAAAAGTATTCATAGAATAGTATTTCAGACTTTTTCTCACAGTTTTAGAAGATATCTCCCTTGAAGATACCATACCATCAGGCAGAGCAAAAAAGTTCAGAGAAAGTTTAAGAAAAGTAAGAAATTTTTGAGTATTAGGCAAGACTTCGGAAAGTTTATATGCCTTCCTTCCATTCACATAATGGAATAAATCTGTCTCTTGGAGGCAAAAGAGAAAATGAGAATCACTTTCCATGCTTACATCTGATTAGTGCAAAGAGCTTTATGGCACAGTCCTGCTTATCTCCTTTACTTGTTATGCAACATTAACTGGGCATATGCAACTGGATGCCTAGTTTCTTGCTCTGTCAGTAAATGCCTTTCTTATCAAAGGCTATTTCATTCTCTGCCTTCTCACCATGGAAAGAGTTTGCTCACTTCCAACACACTTCTGCAGCAGAAACACAGTAACAGAAACATTAGTCATGAGAACCCTCAGTGCTGACTAAGCAGAGGTTGAGAACAAAAGAAGTCAAAAAGACACGGGAACCTATGCTGATATTAGTCCAAGTAGGCATAAGTACAGAGAGACAAGATGCATAATTTGCACAGACAGATAGGAAGCCAAAGATCAGGATTGGAGCTTTCTCTGACACAATGTATGTAAGAATTAATAATTAATTACTGACATCAGTATCCTCCAACTCTCATACAGGAATGTGATGCTGTGACTGTATTTTTATACACCTTCAATGACAGCTTAATGTAACGGTTAATGGACAGGATAAGCAGCTCCTGACCTTCATTCTGACAATAAGAAGAATCTCATTCATAACAGCCACGTCTATGTGAGCATTTTACAGTGAAACAATCTTATAAATGTATCTGATAGAAATATACAAATCTGAAATAACCTTTCTACTTTACATACAGTAAAAATGTAAGATACTTAAGGGCAAAAGTTTGAGGACAGTGTTCCACTCTTATAAGGTGAAAAGACCTGCCAGCAGAGCAACAGTGTTAACACTGAGCAATAGCAATACTAACATTGAGTATTAATAAGGATCAGGATGCTTTTTTTTCTTTTCCTTTGCTATTTCTGAAAGAAAAAGATATCCATTATACATTAAAACAAACAAACAAACAAACAAACAAAAAACCCACTTAGGTTTAAAAAAAGAAAGAAAGAAAAAAAGAAAGAAAAATGACCTGATGAGTTGTGAAATCAAAATGGAATAGGGCTGAAGTAAACTTTACCTTTGTATGGAGGTAGTAATAGTCATTTTGTATTTGGGCAGGTCATGAAAGTGTACATAGAGTACGCAAAGTGCAAACGGGTGTTCAGTTAATGTGACCTGGAGTTTTACTTGTCAGTGTACTGGGCTGAGACTCAGGAGAAAGGCTAGGTTCTGAAGTAGGTGTCTCTGGAACAGAATTTTGGGGCAAGAAAAGACTATGTTCTGTCAAAATAAGGTTGAGACATGAGAGACACAGAAGTGCAAGGCAGCCCCAATTTCCTGGAACAAACTGCGGAAAGTATGGGGACAAGCTTTCTGTGCACTGGGGGATTTTTGCATGTGGAAATGGAGTCTGGGAAACTGCAATGTTGCAAGGTCTCTCTTCTTCTTTGGCATTCTTGACAGATCTGATAACTGCAAAAGGTTTCCTTTTTCAAAGGAGGTCCTAGTGGATGACCTCAGCCTGAGGGAAAACATCTTGAGATGCTATAAGTCAGTGTATTAGAGTTTCTGCAGAGAAGAGAAAGAACATGCCAGCACATTCCATGCTAGACTGCCCATAGTTAAAGGAGCTCCTCTTAACAATCACTCCTCTAGAGCAAAGCAAAGATCCAATGTAACTCAGGTTGTATAGTGCAAAACCTTATTTTAATACAAAATAAAAGAGAGGAATTATGTATCATCCTACGTGTTACATTAGATCACAGTTAACCATGGTATTATAAAGAAATGTTAACAATCAGATAGAGTATTGGCAGACTGTAAGGATGTTCTGAGAACATATAATCTGAAAAAAAAAAAAGCTTTAAAAATTCAGTTCTAGATATATAAACTATTATTATTATACTATCACTTCATTTGGCAGAGGAAAGATGTTTTTCCCTTTTGTATTTCATTTCACATTGCAGTGTATACATCTGAATGCACGCTTTTTAATAAAAGAATTAAGCCAGTCTTCCTTGCTTGTGCAAGTTAAAGCTGACCTTGTTTAATGCAGTTAACACATGTAAATGTCCTACTAATCACCTGTCATTAGCATCTGCTACCCAGCAAAAAGTTTCTTGAAGATTTTGAAGACTGTGCCAGAAATCCCTTCATGTAACTTTGATTTTCCCTCAAAATCATAATTCTGAAAAGAACACTCTGTATACAGTGTATATAATGTGTATAGCTCTTCCATCATGCAAGTTCTAGAAATGAACACAGGAAAATAGTTTCGAGACTTCATACAGAAGCTTGGACCTAGAAAACCAGATATTCTTCAAGTCTAAATTGAAGGTTGTTGGGATTGAAATGACAAGACAAAGAGCAGCAGATGGTTTGGCTAAAAAAAAAAAAAAAAGTGTCCAAAGTCTGACAGAATGATTTCTCATTACCTGCATTTTTTCAATCATCTCAAACAAGTCCACAGTCTGTGGGAAAAAAAAAAAAAAAAAAGGACAACAGGGAAAATAATTTAACACTTGCAAAAGTTAATGTTATCTTCTGTGGTAAAACAGATACTAATCCAGCATCTCTTTCCATGTTTACATACAAACTATTTATTTTCTTACTGAAGACAAGAAGGAATCTTTCTGCATTTACTGATAGCAAGGACAATACAACTCTAAATAGTTTTCAGCTTACATTGCAAAAGTTTGACCTGCAACCTGATAGGACGGGAGTCAGGAATTCATATTTGTGAATGGGTTAAACTACAGGCCTGATACAATATACAGTAAAAAGTGATTAAACAAACAAGCTTAGGATTTTTATACAGAAGTGCACAATTATAGGTGTAACACAAGCATGCACACAAGCTTGCCTTCTGTCATTTCTTCTGCTCAGTAGTCCAATGCACATTCCAACCCTGAGAAAAAGGAATGTAAACTGCCTTTACCTTGTTGGGAGCAGCAAAAGCAAGAGTAGATGGAATGCCTTGGATAGGAGAGTCTATAACATTACTGACACAACACACTCCCTCCTCAGAACTCCTGTGAGAGACAAAAGGCAAAATAAAAACTTCTAACTCTTGTCAAACACAAGATACAAGCACTTGCCAGTGATGCTTTCCTTGCCTTCTGCTCTTTTTACCTTCTTTCCAGACCATTTCTTGTCCAGGAGAAGCTACCATTCCCTGTCAGTTTATTTATAACCTGCAAAGTTCCTGAATAAATCAGCAAAAAAAGGCAAAGTGAAACTAGCACTGTTGTGGCTGGAAACAAACCCTAGGTTTCACATGCAATACAGGACCAAAGCACTTCGTAACTCAGTCACAGAAATGTTTGTTATGTAATCATGCGTCATGATCGTGAATTGTTATCCCCCAGGTCTTAGATGCATGATCCTTACTACCATTTAGAGATCAGTATCTGGAAGTAGCAAAGACTCTTGCCTTGAAACAAGTGTCTGTATTTATTACTGTACGTAAGAACTACTTTATGTGATTACAAAGTTATGCTCTCGTTAGAGGCTTCAAGTATCTCTATGCTCCTCAATTCTCTGACAATTCACAATATATTTTGGTAGTCCACTTGTGTCATGTAACTTTAATATAGTCTCGATCTTGATCTTGATTACAGAGTAATGCAAACCTTCCATCCATACTTTTTTCCTAACACTGAAATGAGAGAGCTATGCTATACATCTAAAGATTAAACTAATATGGGAGAAAAGACCAAGAAGTTAGCCTCAACATACCCAAATAAATACTGTAATAGTTAAATGACAAATGTATTTAAAATTAATATTAATTTCACTATTAATTGAATTTCATTCATGGTATTATTAAATATTAATGCTATATATCCATGTGCTTTATTTATCACTTCTATTCATATAGTTATAGCACACCTAGGACTAACAAAATACACGTCCAAAGCAGTATATGTAACATGTTCATTACTTGTTTTGGAAAACTGAAGGCTCTATTCTGTAATACCTAAAAACTAACAGCTAAATCTGAAAATTTCTAATTTCCAGAAACTAGTCATAACTAGAGAAATCTAACAGTAGATCTTACATGCAAATGGATGCCATGGAGCCTTGCTGGATGCTATAGTGTTTTTCGTTTCCATGCCACTGTTTTGACTCCTGAATCATTCAGTAAGGAGTAAGTTACATACCTATAACATAGAAATTTGGCAGATTTTGCATGAGGTCAGTGACCTGCTCCTGTTCTCCTGCCATAAATTCACCTCCATATTTTGGGCTGACTAAAGTATTACTCAGAGGAACTGCTCCTTACCATTCAATCCTTGCACAGTTCTAATGTCAAAATGCAGCAGATGCCACGATTCCAGGCCTTACCATGCACTTACAGATACTATCAGTTCTCCAAGTATCTCAGGAACGTATGGAGGAACTCTAAAAATCCAGAAGAATGATTTAGAATTGATGCTACCTTTCAAAGAATATCTCAAAACTTCAGGGCTATTGTTACTATCGCTTGAATGTTCAAGTAAATGTTGGACACTGACAATAAATTACTTGCACTGTAGTCTCTAGAACAAAGCCTATGTGTGTAATTACAAAGCAGAAATATCACTGTCAGAGAGCAGAACACCGTTTCTGAAAAATAAGAATAATTCTGCAGGTTGGGAGAGCAAATAAGTACACAATATGTACAATGAAATGCATTTTTGCTGAAACTTTAATTATGAAAAGGCAGTAAGGGGAAGCAGAGGCTATGGAACAGACTGAAGGCTAGAACAGGATTTTATTAGTGACAATAACCAATGTGTTAACTTCAAGGAATTATCTGAACTAAGAGTAGGCCTTCCACTTGGGTCACAGTAACCCCAAGTATCAATACAACCTGAGGATGAAAGGGTAGAGCACAGCTCTACTGAAAAACATTTTGGGGGTACTAATGGATGGCAAACTGGATACAAGCCAGTAATGTGCACTTGTATCCCAAAAGCCAACCATATCATGGGCTGCATCAAAAAAAGCATGGTCAGCAGATCAAGGGAAGTGATCTGGCCACTCTATATTATGCTGGTGAGACCTCACCTGGTGTGCTGTGTCTAGATGTGGAGTCCTCAGTATAGGACAAACACGGGCCTATTGGGGCATGTCCAGAGGAAGGCCACAAAAATGATGGAACACCTCCCCTACAAGGACAGGCTGAGAGGGATGGGGCTTAAATTAAAAAAGGGGATATTTAGACTGAACATAAGGAAAAAAGTTTTTTACAACAGGGGTAGTAAAGCACTGGAACCAAATACCCAGAGAACTGGTGGATGGATGTCCCATCCCTGGAGACATTCAAGGTCAGGTTGGACGGGGCTCTGAGTAACCTGATCTATCTGTAGACGTCCCTGTTCATTGCAGGGGAGTTACACTAGATGACTTTTAAAGGTTCCTTCTAACTCAAATGACTCTACAATTCTATTCCACTGCTAAAGACTCAATTCTGAAATGGTGCAAGAAGAACCTCTGCAGACTTCTAAGCTAGTACCTCCACACACGCAACTCTGCTAATGCCCTTTGCTCCTGCCTTGCAGCATCCTCTGCTATTTCAGTCCCAGGATCCCCATACAGATCTATAAAACTAGTTTCTACCTATTATAACTAAGCCAGATCAACAACAAATTCTATGCTATTATTTGTTCTGAAAGAAACAAAAATTGGCTTCAGTGGGTTTAATAAAGCTTTTCATCTATGTGGTAAAGTCTCACCCTGCTTCCTTTCATGAACAGGAGCACCTTGGCCAACCCCTCTCACCTTCCCGGAGCCACAAAAGGACACGAGGCACGAGGGCACCACAGCAGTCGCACACCCGGCTCACAGAGGGGCTCGCTTCGAAGCTGGACTTCCCAGCTCAGATCACAACACACACTTCTCACCTCATCAGCTCCCTTCCTTTTCAGTCAGCCTACAAGAGCTCCTCTACCCGCTCCCACCGCAAAACAGCCATCGCGGGGCAGGGTCCCATGCCAGCCTTACACCCGACACCCTCTCAGCTGTTCCCCCACCCCGTCCCCAGGCTGCAGGCTGCAACGCAAACTGCCCAGGGAGAGCCGCTCAGTGTCCGTACGTACCCTCCGTCGGCTCCAACGGGAGAAGCGTGCTTTCGGGAAAACATGCCGGAATGGCTAAGGCAGCTCCCCTCTGTCCTCCTCAGGAGCTTCCTCTCCTCCCACCTCAGCACGGAAAAGGGCACAGGCTCCCTCCCTCCCTCGATTTCCCAAGCCAGGCTTCAAAGGAGAGACAGCAAAGAGCACCTCACAGCTGGGACGAGGCCCCAGCCGTGGGGCAGGAAGCTCCTGGGAAGATGGACATGGCATAGAGAGATAGAAAAGGAGGAGGAGGCAAGGAGAAAGAGAAGAAAACAGGGGATGGAGTGATGGCTCCTGCCTTTCCTTTGCTGTGGAAAATCAGTATAATCATTCTACCTAGATTCCACCTCTCTAGGGGATCCATATCTCCCTTGTAGGACAGCTGAATCCAAGCGGCTGACTCCAGGTTGCTAATGACTGTAAAACACGCAATATTAAACAGGGACACCTAAAGAATCCCTTATTCAACTCTTCTGCAGGGTAAGTTCTATTCACAAGGTTCCTTTTTGTATGCAGTGGAAAAAATGAGCAACAAGGAAATCCTCCACAACTTCCTATTTGCTTCAAGGGAATACTAACAGGATATCAACCTCAATACCTTTGGTCTTAGGAGCTGATGTATATCAAATAATACAGAGATTTGACATTATTCTTCCTATGAAATAACTGGATGCTGTCACATGCAAGCAATTCACTCTCTAGCGGAGCTCAAATCTGTGGGTCAGAAACCCCATAAATACAAGAATTTGCATTTACTTGTGGCATGGTTAGATTGCCGCTCCTAATAAAAACTGAGGATGTAAAGATGAGTTCCATGTGTAGGCTACCAGTACTAACTACTGCCCTCCCTAATAGCATAGTCATTAGCAGCAGCAACAGCAAGACTGGATATGGTGAAAGCAAACTACACAGAGAGGCCCAGGTCTTTCTGACATCCTTCAGAAGCTTAAAACTAACTTTGTTCACACTCTAGGCTCAGCTTTCATTTGACAACCTCACAGGTTTACCTAACCTCCTGTACAACTGCAGTTGTGCACAGAGCCCTCAAAATCCAGAAGCAAATCAGCAAACAGTTATTATATGCTTTAATTGCTGTTCTAAGTAGCATCCTTTAATCCTAGCCACATGAATAAATCACTTTCACATGTAAGCGAATCACAAGCCCTCTTACCCCTTTCTGTTCCTCAACTTACAATCAAGCTAACAATTGTTGCTGTTCATGCAGCTGATACAACAGTATCACTGAATATAAGCTTTTAGTTGTATTAAGTAGACTCAGCTCATACTTAGTTACTTGCATTCTTACGTGAATTCTGCATATTTATAGTCTAATAATACATACATTTATCTAATTTGCATGAGTCATTCTGCATTCTGTAATTTTGTTGTGGTTTTTTGTTTGTTGTTTTTTTTAAGAGACTAGCACACAAGCTTCTATTCTTTTAGGTATCCTTGTAGGTATGTTAATACATGTATTTCAATAACCAGCATCTACAGTTTTTGCTACATATTTTCCTCATTTTTATTAACAGACTTTTTTTATAACTGCACTAGCATTTTATGCAGCTCACATAGGAAAAGTCTGGATTAGAACATTGAACCTGATCTCTGCAGTTTTATCAATTATGTGAGTCATTCTAGGAACATTAGAAGCTCCACGGAAGCTACGCAGTACCAGCATATTCTTCAACAGTAAACTCTACAGAGCAGAAACTCTTTTTTTTTTCCCCCTGTATTTATTACTGCAATATTACATTCCGTCATCTCAAGTTCATAGACAGAAACACATATGTTCTCACACCAGATGTTTCCACAGATGTATGCACACAGCTTCTAAATAGCATACTGGATAGAAACACAGCACCTCCCACAACCCACTTGAATTCATTATTCTATGCCAAAGGCTGACAGAATGAGAGCAGAATCTCTTT